AGGCAAACATTCAACAAGTATCCAGGGTTTCCTCTCCTTTCTAGCTTTGAAGAGAATGAAACCCAATCAGCAATGGAAGGGGGGCGGCGGGCGCTGCCTCCTGCCCCGTGCCCTGGCTGTGGGCAGACTGGGAAGCCCCACGCAGCCAGGCTCACCTGCAGTCTGGCACGTGAGGGCCAAGGCCTGTGGGACGTGGGACACACACCGGCAGATTAGTCGAGCCCCTAACTTTTAATACCATTGTTTATACTACCCGATTGCAAGGAAATGAGCAAACGTTTAATTTAGGACAAAATAGTGACTTAGGGTGGGTGTGAATTCTTTATTTAAACCATGTAAGTGCCACAGGAAGAAAAGGAGGAAGCTTGGGGACTAACGGTGAAAGGGGAAAGTCTGCTTCTAAAGGATGGCGTTATCATTACCCTTTTAAAGTTATTGTACAATTCCTTATGGATTTCAGAAATAAGATTTTATAACAAAATTAACAAATTCTAGTATTACTTAATTTAAATGAGCAAACTAACAATGAAAAGATGTTTATGTTTTTGTGCCCCGATGATCATGAATAGTTATCAGTGGTATGTAGCATTTTGTTTCATTCTTTTTAATAGTATCTAAGCTGGAATCACAGGTTGGCCTGGGGAAAACTTTACTATAATTGCATATATTTGAGTCACTTGGTGGGGGGAGGGTGTACATACCACAGTGTTATTTATGGTTAGCAGAGGCCTTTTTGTGTGTTAACAGAATGGCCAAATATTATGTTTCCAGAGCTCACTTGATTAAAACAAAATTTTTAAAAATATGTGTTTTGGGTTTGAGAAAGTTCTGTGCTAAGAATTCAATTAAACTTTATGATCAGGTCTTATAATTACCTTTCGAAGACCAATTAAAATAACATTGTTGGAAACTGAAAAGCTATTTAATTCTTTAATACACCCATCTCCCAAGAACTCTGGGTAACATCTGAATTTATGAAAGAATGGTACAGAAAATCTTTTGGGGGGGGGGAATAATTACACATTGTTCCAAACCCTGAAAGATAAGAGTGTATAACGAAAAAAATCCAAAAAGGTAATATAATTAAATGAATTTAATTTAAATTTCAAAACCAATTATCACTAGGACTTTTTGGGTTCTTTGGACTGACTAGTCACTGTATGTAACTATGAAAGCTTTGTCTTTAAGGAAAGTACTAGGAAAGGCACTACAGCAGGGTAGGTGAGCAGACTCCGCAGGCTCAGCCTCTTCCTCAACGTGGGCTCTATGTTTGTGTAACTGCTTACAGCTTCTTTGTGTCTGTTTCCCCATCAGTGAAATAAGAAAAAACAGGACCTCCCCACAAGGTGGTTGTGAAAACGAAATGAGTAAATACACATAAAGCACTTGGAAAAGTGCCAGTAGGCACCCAGTAGCACTCAAGAAATGTAGCTATTATCCTTATTACTTTATCTCAATACTGCAAAGGCATAAGCAAGCATCCATATGCGGAAATAAGTACTCTTAACTTCAGTTTGTTCTCACTCTGCATCTAGGAGCCGCACTTGGAGTTAGGAGGCCTGTGCTCAAGGTAGAGCCAGCACTCAGTGCCCGTCACCGCCGGGCGGGGCTGCGGCCGCACCGGCCCCTCTGGGAGCTCTGACCCTGGCGTGCCACCGGCGTCCTGAAGCTCTTTCCTACTCTGCAGAATGGACCTCACCTCCACCTGTCTGGTTCCTCGGGTTACCCTGAAGCTCAAGTGAGGCAAAATGCACGAAGGTACTTGGAAGATTTTGTAAAGCACCATTAGAGGATGTGACAACAATGTGGTTTGCGGTGTGTCTAGAGCAGTGGTTGTCAATCTTCCTGATGCTGCGACCCTTTAATACAGCTCCTCATGTTGTGGTGACACCCAACCATAAAATTATTTTTGATGCTACTTCATAACTGTAATTTTGCAACTGTTATGTCTTAGGCGAACCCTGTGAAAGGTCGTTCAACTGCCAAACAGGTCGCGACCCACAGGTTGAGAACCGCTGGTCTAGACCCTCTCAAAGGAAGTGTATTACTCATAGTTCTAGAAAGTCTTTAAACTTTTAAAAGTAAAACTGTAGATATGTGTCTTTATAATCATAATATCCTTTATAAAATATTAATGTTTTATTATAAAACTATCTTCTCATCTTGAATCCCAACTCTATGGAATAGTTGGTAGATAAATAGTTGCCTTTAGAAATTGTGGTTGCAAAAATAATGTCAAGCCAGGTGCTTAAGGTCATAAATTATTAACTAAGCCAATAATGAGCCGTTTCATTAACTACTAAAGGCTTCACAAACACTATCTCATTGAACCCTCAGAGCAGCCCCTGCGCCAGGGACAGCAGCCCCACGTTATAGGGTTAAATCCACGTGACTGCTAAGTCCCTGCTCTCAACCACTACCGTCCACAACACAACAGAAACAGCAGGAGAAAAAGCCCTAATCACTGTCTTCACCGAATCACATACTTAGAACTGGCAGATCCAAGACCTCTAAACTAGGTTTTGATCTTTGGTAACAAAAGTGACTTCAGAAAACTTATTACATAGTAAGTGCTTACTATTCAGCTCATTAAAAAATTTTAAAACACATTTCCAGGTTTTATTTTTAAATAACACATTGCTCACTGAAAAAAGATCACAGAAGAGTAGAATTCAAATAAAAATATCCGTACTTCCACCATTCAGAAGAGCCAAGTTGACAGTCTCTCTGCATATGTTTTTATGCAGTGGTAAACTATGAAACTTAGTTAATTTTTGATGATTATTCTTAAATATGATGACCAATATAGTGGCTAGACTGAACTTTTTAAAATTGGAAGATATAAACTAATGGTAAGTTTTGTGCAAGCAGAAAATTGTTATATTACAGAGATAGTATTATCAACACCTTCCTACACTATGGAGAAACAAGCAGAAAGTAACTTTTTTCAGTGGAATTAGAGCTCAAAACTATACTGGCCACAGAGAAACTTACGTGAGAAATTCATGAGTTGAATTTGTATCTATACATACGTGTATATCTACACACTGATCCACACATATTAAACCTGTGTAAGATTTATAACTTTCTCCAGGCCTGATAATACTATAACTAAATATATTACTAGAACAGTTAAGAAGAAAATTGTTTTTTTAGTCACTGAACTTTGCCAAAGTTATACTTATGGATGATTAAACTATAAAGATTTCCCTTGTGAATAGTTGTTAAATATTTGCTTTAGACAGCATATTCAAGATAAGCAAAATTCTTTTCAAGGATCATATTAATCCACAGTATAAATGCAGGGAAAAAATTCTGCCTCTTGTGAAATGCTATAAATAGTGACAAACGAGTAGAGCAATTTAGGGCAAAGATTCCAGGTATTACGTCCAAGTGTTTGTCATGCCACACCCGGGCACTGTGATCAGGGTGACTTACACACCTTCACTGGGTATCATTTATGCCAGGAGAAAAGCAAGTTAAAAACATACAGACACGCCAATAGAAAAGAGGAGGCAGACAACGGTCAAGACATTTTTAAAAGTAAACTTTCTCGTACTTACTCTTATGTAAGAAGTTTGTTAGTCATACTTTCTAGGAACCTATTTATATTGCTTTAGTATGATTTACAAAAAAATCATACTAATCATATAAATAATATTTTGAATGTAAAAAAACAATGCAGACTGGTGGCTGGGTAAGAATAAGAATGTTCATTAAAACTGTACTCTGAAAGTCAAATGCTAACCGAAAACACTGTCTAGACAAGAAAACACTGACAGAGTCTAACAAATATTTTTGGATTTTTAATGTACATGAAAATGCATACTATAGGTGTGTTTTTGTATACAATATTGAAAAAGTAATTATTAGATATATCTGAATTACCAAATTAAAATTGTATAAACTTCTTTTGGAGAGTGAAACTATTTATGTCCTTAAATAGGAAAAAAAGCCAAAATATTCTCATCCTATCCAACTGCCCATGAGAAGTATAATAATCAAATATTAAGAATGACTATGGCCCATTCTCCTTTTATTACAGAATTTTTTTTCTTGAGAGGAAATGTTTATGAGGTAATTACATATTTTTTTCTTTCTTTATCCTCACCCGAGGACATTTTTACATTTACTTCAGATAGAGTGGGGGGAGGGGAGAGAAACATCGATGTGAGAAACACATCGAGTGGCTGCCACCCACACAACCAACCAGGGCCGGGGACAAACTGCAACTGAGGTACATGCCCCTGGCGGGAACCGAACCTGGGTCTCTCCGGTCTGCAGGCCGACGCTCTAACCGCTGAGCCAAACTGGTCAGGGCGGTAATTACATATTTTTAAACGGTATTCTCTACATTTACATCTCTCTTTAAATAGCTTTAGCAGGTTACAAATTCAGTCAAAGTCATGATTTGTGTGCGTCTCCTTACTTCAGAGATTTCAGTTACCTGAATAAAAGACGACATAGTATGATCAAAGCTGTATTTCAAAAAATAAGAAAATAGGCAGATGATGGTGCTTAAAAGATTATACTTCAAATTTAGCACTGTTTTTGAAGCGGAGAGCGGCATATACCATATTGTCTATAAATATTTATTGAATATGGTTCACCTGATTTTTAAAAAAACACCTTGTAAGCTGATTAAATCACAAACATGTTGAATCAGTTTTAGTAAAAACAAGACTAGGCTTTTAAATAGTTATAAAGAGAAATTATGATAAAAACACTTCCAATATCTTTTGGGGTTAAAAAAAAAACCCCAAGTGTTATCAAATCCCTGTATATTTCAGCCTTAATATTTTAAAGAGTAACATATTAGGATATACTATACATATTAATAGCATGAAAGTGCATCCCACTGAAATTTTCACGTTTAAGGCTTAAAAGTGATTTTAAAAAACATCACAATAAATGATTGTAACTTAAATTTGAATATGGAAACCAAAAATACCAAAATCCAACAAATCTTCATTTAATGCTTAGAAGTAAAATATAAATTTCTAAAACATACAGATCCATTTACATCAGGTTCCGCTGTCACAGTTCTTTATCATTAAATAGGACCCAGTAATATGTCCCTAAGTCCCTTTCTCCTTGAAAGTCCTGTTCCTGAGGACTTGTTCATTATCTGGTAGAATTGTTCATTCAGAAAACAGTTAAGCGAGTGTATGTCCTTAGAGACTTTTCTGTATAGCATAATAAAGGCATTAATAATGGTAAGTTAGAATAGCAAATAACATCATCAAAACAAATTCTCTTTTCAACGTATCTCAACTGAGAAAACCAGAGAAGAGACAATAAGCACATTCACCACCCAGGAGCTCTCTCAGCTTCTACTGTGATGAGACTCTGGGGCGGAGAGGCTGAGAACAGACCTATGCCTGAATGTCAGATGTCTTTACACCAACACATGGACTGGATCTTGGCTTCTCTTTAAAGTTTTGTGAAATGTACACATTCAAATGTGCTGCTTGCTATTAATAACGGCAGGAAAAATTAGTTAAAATATTTGGTATCATTACTGTTACCAGTAATCAATGCAAATTATCTCATGATAATATATTCTGTAAGTGTGGACTTACGTCATGTGCCAAATAGCAGCATAGATTACAACATCATGGTTCAGATGATGGTCAGTGACTTAGCTGGTACACACCCAGAATGAAGGAATTTGTTTAAATAAATAATTAAATAAGGAGCCTAGCTGTACTTTAACATCAGCTGCTAGAACTGAGCAGTGGGTTTCTTGGTATCCAGAGGCAGGAGTCAAGTTTCTTGTCGTAAGTGCAGTGATGGTGAGGATGGAGACAGGCGGCGGCCGAGCCCGGCTGCTAGCCACTAGCTAGAACACGTACTTGAGCTCCACTGGAGCTGTGCATCCTGGCTGTGCATCGGTGATCTGTAAAGGCTGCCTGAACAGAATCCCCTTCATCATACAGGCGCTGCTGTCCGCGCTACAGTAATAAAGAAACGCGCTGATAGATACAACCGCTTCGGGTGACAAGCAATCCCCAGGAATCTGCAGTGAGATGGCTGGCTGATTGGAGATACTTTCTATTTCTCCAGATGGCATCTGTCCTTGAAGAAGCCATTCATTGCCTAAAAAATAAAAAGGTAAATTATTAAGATTGTAAAAGAAAGATAAAAACTACAAAACAAGCTAGGGAATACAAATCTATGTATAACTCTGCAGTGACTTGCAAATTAAAATTATGATAAATCATTGACTATCACAAGGTAATAATTCAAAAATAACACTGATTTTTTAGAAATAAGTAACACTGCATATATTATTCTAATGTAAAATCTAAGATTTTGTCTACTTCTTTAATGCATAAAACTCTTCTAAGATTAATGTACATAAATTATCTATTTATATAACCAAAGTCTAATAAACCACTAAAAACTTTAACCTTCCCGTGTTAAATATTTTTAAGTCTTCTTCTAGATCCTTCTGTCAGGACACAGGCATCACGCTGAGGAAGCGCACTTACAGACATTCAGCTTCAGAGGGGATCAGATATCGAGAACCAGCATCTGGGAAGTAAACGAGGACGTGCTTCCCTGCCACTCAGTGGAGCCACTGAGCATATCTAATGACTTATCAGCCATGAGGCGTCTGCAAGCACTGAGCCACCTGCTGAGCGGTGCTGAGATGCCAGGCCTGGCCTTTAGCTTTCCTCTCTCTGTCTTTTGGCCTCAGGATGAACCAGCACCCAGAGCACCTGTCCCTAATGCTCCTCTGCATCTCTCCTTCAGTTCACCTGTCCCTAATGCTCCTCTGCATCTCTCCTTCAGTTCACCTGTCCCTAATGCTCCTCTGCATCTCTGTCCCTAATGCTCCTCTGCATCTCTCCTTCAGTTCACCTGTCCCTAATGCTCCTCTGCATCTCTCCTTCAGTTCACCTGTCCCTAATGCTCCTCTGCATCTCTGTCCCTAATGCTCCTCTGCATCTCTCCTTCAGTTCACCTGTCCCTAATGCTCCTCTGCATCTCTGTCCCTAATGCTCCTCTGCATCTCTGTCCCTAATGCTCCTCTGCATCTCTCCTTTAGTTCACCTGTCCCTAATGCTCCTCTGCATCTCTCCTTCAGTTCACCTGTCCCTAATGCTCCTCTGCATCTCTGTCCCTAATGCTCCTCTGCATCTCTCCTTCAGTTCACCTGTCCCTAATGCTCCTCTGCATCTCTGTCCCTAATGCTCCTCTGCATCTCTCCTTCAGTTCACCTGTCCCTAATGCTCCTCTGCATCTCTGTCCCTAATGCTCCTCTGCATCTCTGTCCCTAATGCTCCTCTGCATCTCTCCTTCAGTTCACCTGTCCCTAATGCTCCTCTGCATCTCTGTCCCTAATGCTCCTCTGCATCTCTCCTTCAGTTCACCGCGTCTAATATTCTGTTAACTAAAAAAATAAAATTTGAGAAAAACATATCAAATAAGAGTAAGGAGAAGGTGAAAGGTGAGAATCTAAAGAGTTAAGTCCAGAGTTTTTATGCAGGAACTTTTAAACACTTATTTTAAACTATCTCTAAAGTCTTTAGCTTTCTTTATTTCTGGACTGAGGAGTATGTTTTATTTTATTGAATGTATGATTTTGCTAAACAGCAGGTTGGTGGGGAACTTCTTATATTTTAAATCAAACAGCAAAGTAAACTGGGCTGTTTTAATGTCTAATTCTAGAAATAAAACAGAAAATGTTTCTTTAGATCTTTTCCAGAAATATATGTGGGGTTTTGTGAAATTATAATATGCTAGTGATGCTTTTATGCATTTTTTTTTTGGCTTAAAACCTTCACATATGCTGAAAACTTTAAGATTATACGACCAAATTTAGTTAAAAGTAAGTGATTCTCTCTCTAAATAACTGGCCAAGAAGAAAAAAAAAAAAGTCCTTTACTCATAGGTGTACAAATGTACCCTATAAAATAATTTTCTAAAGGATTAAATTATTGGGATTTCTCCCCAAATCCTTATTTGCTCCTATACAATAAAAATGGAACCGATATATTGAACAAATAATGAAATAGCTAAGAATTTGCTCTGTAGACTACTTCATTTTCCTTTTATACTATCCATATTTGCCCTGGCTGGTCTGGCTCAGCAGCAGAGCATTGGCGTGTGGACAAAGGAGTCGAAGGTTCAATTCTGGTTGGGGTCATGAGGGAGGCAACCAGTTGATGTGTCTTTCTCTCTCCCACTCTATCTGAAGATAAAAATGGAAAAAAGTATCCTCGGGTGAGGATTAAAAAAAAAATACTATCCATGTTTATATTCCAATGACTCAACATTAATTTGTGTGTTTGATAAAACAGAGTTATAGTAAACATGTTAATGTGTCAATATCCTATTTTAAAAATCAATACTCTGCTCTATAATTTCACGTAGATAAATTAATTTAACAGTGATCTCCACTTGATGCAATGCTTTCAGATGAATGGACACAGGCAGAACAGTTAAACTGGCAGTCGAAACCTTGCCTCAACTTATGGAAGAATGAGCAATGGTCAGGGTCTGAGCACGCCTTTGCCCACAGAGCAAGCTCCAAACACCCTCCTAGTACTGCATGGCTTGGCCCTCTCCCATCTGCGAAGTAGGCTTCCCCACAGGCTTAGTCACCCCAGAGCCAGACTCCCAAACTCTAAGGCAGCAGTCCCTTCTGTTCTGTGTGGACACCAGGTGGGTTGTTGCAGGACAGTAGCTGTCGCCCTCAGAATGCACAAGGTAAGAAGGCACAGAGCCCGGATCTGGGTAACGTACAAAAGAAAAGTATGTGAGAGGGCACGAGGGAGGAGGGCTCAGGGAGGAAATGGCAGCTTGAGTGAAAACATGTGAAAGAGCGTGGGAGACTAGGACAAGGGAAAATCACGAGAGACAAGAAGTCAGAATTGAGCTCTGGACAGATGACTATTTTACTTTAAAATGCATGTCCAGTCTGTTAGAGATGCTGGAGAGCCCTGCTACAAGTCAGGCAGGACACTGATTCCTACTATAAATTAGTAAGTTCACACTGACTGAAATTCACATTCAAATCTTTACATAATTTACAGTGACTGAATACTTTGAGAACAGGCTCAGACAGGAAGTAGTCTTAGATTTAAAGATCACAAATTGCAGTGAGTGAGGACAAAGCCCTGCCTGGATTCTGATCACAGTAATTCATTTGTAGGCAGTTAACACCCTCCAACAATGGTCATTCTTCTGCTTGAATGGCACACCTCTAAAATGTGGCTTTGGAATCCACTTTCTTGTAGTAAGCAAGTAATGGAGCGTAAACTCTATGTCTAGCATCTCTAAAGAAGGAAATGCTGCTTCAGGCTTAATAACTGGTAAGTCAAGTCTTAATGATACTATTACATTGACATAAAATAAACAGCAATTGAAAGCTCTAAAACATTTGATAGATGCTATCTGAAAAGCAAAAGGTAATAAAACCAAAGAACTGAACTGAAAGGAGCTCATGTCAAGTTACTTCAGTTAAAAGAAAGCATATCGTTTTAAAAAATTTCATACTCAAGGCAAAATAAGCAACTTAATTCTTTAGAAAAGAATCTGTGAGGTGCTATTCCTGTATTACTGAAAGGTATAGTGGTAAACACAATTAATACTGGATCACGACTCCAGAGACCTAAGTTGATGGCACATGATCTGCGCTGTGGCAGACCTGCTTATCAACACCACGCAGTCAAGCCTCCCTCCACGGCGTGCGCCCTGTAGCTAGCTGGGCTGGAGAGAAACAGCCTCCATGTGGACCAGCCCAGCTTTCCGTTCACAACAGGGAGCCTCAAGCTATTCAGCAATCACTGTATTTCCCTCATGTACTCAACAACCTCCCACCCTCCTGGATGACCCTTTTCTCTCTTCAAACCTCCAAAACCTTCTCCCCTCTCACGCTCAGGCGATGGCCCGTTCTTCCCAAGGTACTGAGAAAACAGAAGCATCAGAAAAGAGCTTCCAGCAGCACCTACCCCACAGCTACCCATCAGGACCACAGGCCTTCTCTTCATACCGTGCAAATGTCTGCGTTCCCGGCAAAGGTCAGCCTTCTACTCGCGCATTTGGTTCCATGCCCTTTCAGACCCTGAAGGGTACCCACCCACCACATGTCATTCTTTCTCTATTGGAGCTTTGCCACCAATAAACATGCTGTTCTTAACTCCGTTCCCCCTTTTAGCAAGTGCTCTATTTATTTCCTCTTATCTTTGTAGCTAACCTCCTGAGTTATCTGTATTTGCTTTTTCCAGTTCTTTTCCTTCTATTCTTTTTTAACCTGCTCTAATCAGGCATCTCCTCCATCATTCTGAAACAGTTCTGGAAGAGGACATCAACTAACTCTTAACATTAAATCAATGATCAATTCTTAGCCCTTATCTTACCTGATCTAGCAGTAGCACCTGACACGGCTGGTCACTCTCTCCTTAAACCACCTGGCTCCAGGAAACTCTCTCTTGGTTTTGCGCCTGCGTGCATTCCTGGTCCCTCCTCCCTGCCCCCTGCATGCTGGAGTGCTCCAGCAGAGCCGCTCCAGGGACAGTCAGTGCATGGTGCTCGTCCATAGACCACGATGAGTTCAGTACAGCAACTGAGAGTAAGGCTTAGAAACTCTCATAACATCCACATAGGTAATCGGTGGGGCTTCAAACTTTGTCTTTTTAAAGAAATGAAGTTTGGGGCTAATAACCCCGGAGCTAGTTTGAGAGGGGGTCACACAATCAGACACTAAACTAAGAACAAGCAGAACTGGGTTCCAACTCCATGTCTGACCTAATTCAATACATGGCCTTGAGCACCCACCACCAGCAGCAGCCATGACCACACTCGGTCTCTCCGGGCCGTTAGTCTCCCCATCACCACGTGCCTCTCACAGCCATGCTGCTCCAGGACCTGGCCTCAGAGACCCAGACGCCGGCCTCCTGTTGGACTTGCCAAGCAGCAAATGGGGACAATTATGATTGAATAATTTTAGATGAGTTCTTTAATAAAAGAGATAAAAGAATTTCAAAGACTAAAGAAAACTGCTAAAGTGGGGTGAGAGCTGGATCTATTGTCACAAGACTTCTCAAATCCTACCTGACTATATAGTAAAATTATCATATACAAATGAGAAAGATTCTAGATTCAACATCAAGAGTTTTTGCATTTGCAAGACTGTTCACATACTTTCAGCTGTTAGAAACCAGCAACTGGGTGCCCCTTCGGTGAGCTTCGCTCCCGCCGGGAGGTCTAGTCGCAGCTGGAACTGCACAGTCTGTCCTGGAGCTGCAGACAAGGGGCAGAGCTGAATGGTTGGAGCTGATTTTGGTAGTTTGGGTACTGTCTTCTGTTCTCCTTCTAGGATTGGGCCATCCACCACAGCGTTTCCAGATCCGGAGACAGGGAACTAGGAAATTTGTTCAAGCACAGGTACTTTAAAATAATTGCAGAGTGAGAGAGTTTATTCTTAGACTTCAGGCTACAGTGAGATTCAGAAATATATTTCGTTCTGGCAAAAAAAATTACCGACAATTATGAATGAAGTAATTAAAGTAAAACTATATCAATTTAAATGTAGTGGATATAATATGCATCCTCTTATAATTTTCACTGCCAACTATATGATGTCATTCATCTTATATCAAAGTTCTATGTCAAGAGAATGACACATACAATGACAGTCTGTTTTTATTTTAAAACATATCTTAGAAATTCCTAGAATTTTAGAAAAAACTAACTCTTGCATTTTTTTCAGGCAAATGTGATACATCAAGGGGGAACTTAAAAATGTTATTAGAGACCATGTTTATAGCTTTAAAACTTGATTAGAACTTATTTTTCTTTCAATCTTATTTTCAGTGCCTTGAGAAGTGTGGCTTCTAGCGCTTCCTTTGGAAGATTAGCTAGTAATGGATTCCCTGTAGGCAACAAAGATTACACATTAATCTAAGAATCACTAAAACAAGACTGAACAGCCTAACCCACATATATGTGTGTCAGTATGGCTACATATTTAAAAACAGATGAGCCCTCTTTTTTTTCCTTTTCTGAAAGTTCATCAAATTCCTCCTAACCTCCAGTCTTTCTCAAACACTCTTAACACACATGAAATTTCTACTGTAAAAATAATATGCTATCCTTCGTACAGAGACGCCCCGACTACTCTGCCTGCGTGCCCCACTTTCACCACCGCAGACGGACTGCCCACAGTGCCTGTCGGTGCTGCGAGGCTCTTAGAATCACTGGTAGAATGATATCTGTACTTACACTTGGAGATTACCTACCACAGAAACCGTCTTTGTTTCCAAATCCATCACCTTAATTTGATGATTATTCGTGTCCGCTACGTATAATAACTGGCCATCTTCTCCAACACACAAGCCTCCTGGTTCATTAAAAGTTGACTCGGAAAAACTGGAACTGATGTTACTTATGTCTCCAGTTCCTGCTAATGTTGTACAGTGTTTTGTTTTTGGATCCACAACTTTAATCTAAAAAGAAGGAAAAAAAATTGTATATCGGAAGTTCAATCTCATGTTTGTGGTATGGAAAAGTACATTATTAAGCAAGCCAGAGAATTTCTGCTTGTCATTAGTATTTTTTTTTTCCTTTATTGCTTTTAGAGAGAGGGGAAGTGAGAAGGAGAGAGAGATAGAAACATCAATGAGAGAGAACACAGACTGGCCGCCTCCTGCATGCCCCCCACTGGGGATCGGGCCCACAACCTGGGCATGTGTCCTGACCAGGAATCAAATTGGCAACCTCTTGGTACATGGGTCGACGCTCAACCACTGAGCCATACCGGCTGGGCTGTCATTAGTATTCTTAAAAAAAAAATCATGGAAAAAGAATAGGTATTTCCTTATCTTCTTGAAAAAGCCAAACATTGAAATTAGTGTCTAAGAGGAGATGCTCCATTCTGAGAACTATGTGCAATCCTCAGTTATGTCTTATCTTCTGGAAGTAATTTCTGATGAAATTTTTTTTTTTTTAATTTAAAAATATCCCTTTTTTTCTTTCAATGAGACACCACTGAACTTTCTTCTCACGAGCATCTAACAGTGGCTGAGGATTTGCCATCGACGTTAAACTTAGTGATTCCCACTGTCTCAATGGCATTGCATTTATAGTCTCTCGTCACAAAATATTAACATTTCCCACGGATTTTTATAAAAAATAAAATAGAAATAGTTGGAGAGTCAATGAAATGCTGCTTTTAATTACATTTTAACAGAATTATTTGCTAACAGGTGCTGCAACTACACAACAACTCAAAAATGTTCATCTGCTAAATGACATGACTTCTGTGCCATCCGCCGCCTCCTTACTTACTGAATTTGCTCCTCAGCAGCTTTGAGGAGCTGCAAGGCACAGCTTTGGCTACAGCCAGCAGGAATGTGTTTATTAGTCTTTCCCAGCTCACAGTAAGTACCATCACACCAGGACCGAGACGAGAACAGAAAAGGCTTACATACAGTTGTCAAAGGCTGTTATTCCTCCTTACCGTTTAGAACGGCAATTGTAGGAGGCTCCGATTTTCAGCACTTTAAACGCCACAGATGAAAAGCGAGTTACATGATTCCGTGAACTCACCTTGTGATTGTACGAGTCGGCCACATAGAGCAGCTGCCTTTTCTTGTCCCACGCTGCTCCCAGTGGGTGCTGAAGTTTCGCACCGATTCCTACTCCATCAACATCGCCAAAAGCAAATAAATTCTTTTTTTTAAAGAAAAAAAAAAAAACAATAGCACATATTAAAATTTCTAGTGTTTGGTTAGCATGCCAAGTGAAAATTAAGGTGGCTGTGTGCTCCGGCAGTCAAAGGGGCAAAGACCTGCTTTCATACAGAGGGCTGGGCATCTGGTTCAGACTAGAAAACAAATGTACCATTTCTAACCTGTATTAATGTGTGGTACTCAGCAGTTTACTGACAATAATCACACATCTGGTCAGAAACAGGTTAGGTCTACCAGTCTGCCAAATATCTCCTTTACACTTGCCTCTTGTCGCAGTCAACATTCCGTCCTTCCTTTCTCTCTGAAGCCTTGACATGTATATACAATTGGGTCAGCCTACTTCTCTGAGGGTTGTTTCTTTACCTGCACATTCCTCTGCCTGCCTGCCACCTTAACCTATGGCTAGGCCAGGGGCACGCCCTCCTCCAGCTCAGCGCTGCTCTCGGCTGGGAAGGCTGCCGCGTGGCGGAGCCGCACACGTGCACAGGGGCTCCCTACCGTGGGATCTCTTTCTCCTCCCACGAGGTGCCTCACGGCTCCGTCTTTCAGCGAGACGGCTCTCACGGTGCTGCTCTCACTGTCGGCTACAAACAGGCAGCTCCAGGGTTCTTCTGCGGCCAGAGAGAGACCTGAGGGCTGGGCGAACCCCGCCTTGTGAGGGTACGCATTATTTCGATTCTCTTCATTTCCACTTCCTGCAAACCGAAGGCAGGCTCCTTTTTTTAACTCACTGAAAAGACAGGTTCATAGGTGAAGTCAATATTGTTACATTGTGTCCAATTTAGTTTTTTGTTTTTTTTCAATCCTCGTCCCAGGCTATTTTTCCATTTATCTTCAGACAGCGTGGGAGGGAGGGAGAGATTGGGAAACACTGATGTGAGAGAGACACATTGACTGGTTGCCTCCCACATGACCCCGGCCAGGGCCAGGGACGAACCGCAACCGAGGTACATGCCCTCAATTGGAATCGAACCCGTGACTCAGTGGTCCGTGGGCTGACACTAACCACTGAGCAAACCAGCCAGGGCCAATTTAGTTATTAAATAAATGATGAAATCAATGGTGACAAGTATTGTCAAAAAAAAAATATCTAGTGATCTTGGCTCAGTTACACTGCAAATCAGCTTTCACTCTAGCTTTTCTGATGGTTAACTTATTTGTCCACTGTGCAGGGGCCTTTCTACATTTGTGACATACCTGAAACTGAAACTATTCTCAATTGTCACAGAGGAAATCCCTGACAAGGTCAGAATTATAAGACTAATGACTATTTCATTGATGGGGTAGATATTTTTTTCTCCAAACGGTCAGAGAGAGGTACAGCTGTCTCCCACCTTAATTTCTCAGTTTCATGCGGTATTAGGTTCTGAAAGGGAATCTAAAATATTATGTAGCTCTTGATAGTTTAAAGCTTAAATTTCCATGAAAAATTTCTTGTTTTCTTGTACACAGTAGAGACTAGCAAAGAGAATTGAAAGAATGCTTTAAAACACAATCTGGTCAGGTATTACCCACTTAAAGAAACAAACACAGGATGATTACACTGCGTTAACTAATCAATTACACAAACCAATTTCTTATATACACTAGGGAAATTTCTACTTAAAGGATTATTACAATGATTCCTTGTGTAATGCAGAGAAAGTTTTATAGTTTGGTTTCTAAGTTTATGCCGCAGGGATTGTAAGGAAAACGTGGTGTCTTGTGTTGAGGGAATGGAAGAAACTGACTTAGAAGCAAAATGATGACTGACTACATGCACATCACATCCAAATATGGCACAACAGGCAAAGTCTACAAGGACCCTCAGTCGCCCTGAGGTTGATACGCTGGAGGCGAAGGGATGCGGAATGTATAAAATACGGCCACTCGTTCAGGGAGCTTAAATGTGAGGAGTCATTCTCACTTGAAGATCAGTAACAAATAAAGATAAAGCATCCTTAAAATTATGACACAGGTCAATGTGATCTGGGTGGACATTTTCCTAATAAGAATGAGAGTGAGCACTCTGCTTATTTGGAATTTAGTCCACTCGTTACCATCTAAGTCCAACACAGCCATCACTGAACATTCTTTCTGCTGTTTAAAATTATATCTCACGTAAAATATTACTGGGCACTTCACTGTTCAGGTTTCACCACCACTTGCCGGGATAGCGGCAACAGCTTCCTCACTGGTATCTGTCTAGTCTTGTCCCTCTCCAAACGCTGCCAGTCTTCTTTCAAAACACAAATCTCACCATGCCACTTCCCAGCTTACAACTTCCTAGAAAGGCATTTAGGATAATGTTCAAATTTCTTAAAATGGCTCAGAAGGCACTTTGTGACCTGGCTTCTACTAACATCAATAGAGTCATTTCTTCACTCAGGTTTCAGTTTAGTAGCTTCTTCCAGGGAGCCTTCCTTGATGGGTATCAGGTGTTCCTCTTGTTTACGCAGGGGACGGTTTCAACTTAAAGGACTACTGCAGCGATCCTTTACACACAGAACCTTCCCAACTATGTTTTTTGGTTTGTTTATTTGCTAATCTGATTCTTCCTCTATTGTGGGAGAACATTTGCATGGCATCCATCTTGTTAAGTCTGCTCTGCTGTCTCCGGCCCCAGGGCGGGGTCTCTCTGCGTGCAGTGTCTGCATTCCTCTAGATAACTGTTTACTCCATTCTTTGCTTATTTGTTCCACCTGGGGTATTTACTGGAATTTGCTTCAGGTGGGATACTCATTAACTGTTTCACCTGTTTTTCCCCTAGATAGTATGTGAACTCCCCCTGAATAAACGAGACTTGATCAGAGCCCTGTCTTGTCTCCATTTCTCGAGTCTCTTGTCCCTCCTCATCCTCACTCCCCCTCTAGAGTCCTCGTTGCTCGACCTGCGGGACGGGTCACTCTATAAGGAGGACAACAACCACATCTTTTCATTTTATTCTTAATTAGTGAACATATTTCATCCCTATCGCCTAGCACAGTACCTAGCATATAGTATGTTTAATAAATAGTTATTAGGTGAATGATTAAATGTTGCAAACATTACACAAAGCAACATACACTATTGGAATATACACTATTTGGAATATATTTTGGATTATCTATACAACTGCTCTTTTCTACTGATAAAGGTAACTGAGATGACTGGCACTTTTCTATGGTGACTTGACACCCTTTCAGACTGTGACTTTCATTTATTTATTTATTCTGCAAACCTTTACTCGGCTCCTGTTATGTACCAGATACAGTGCTAGGTACAGCGGACACAAAATTAATGAGAAAGGACCTTTTCCTTTCAGAAGCAGTCAGTAAGATGAAACAGTTATGTTAACAAGTAACTGCAACCAGAAACACAGAAGGAGAGACAGAGGGAAAGAGGTGGGGAGGAGAAGAGAGAACAAACTACGTAAGCAGTGTAGTGGAGTCACAGAGAAGACTATGGTCAGTTCTACCTGGGGTGTTAGGAAGAAGAGAAAAGGCTCTATCGAAAAGAGATAAGAAACTTTGTAGACACACCACTTTTTCATCCTTATATCCCTATTAGTGGCAACAAAGCTACAACCATTTACTGAATATGCCAGGCATTAGGCTGAGCTCTTCACACACATTATTCTCAAACAAGCCTAAGAGGGAGACACAGTAAAAAGGAAACTGAGGCTTAGAAAGGTAAAATGGCTCCCCTAAGCTCACACAGACAGTAAAGGGCAGAGCAGGATTCAATCTCAGGCCTGACTATAAAACCTGAGCTATTAAACACAATGCTTTACAGTACTCAAATACCTGAATTAACAACTGGGGATATCAGAACTGTGTGTTAAAAAGAGTGACCACCAGCCCTGCCGGTGTGGCTCAGTGGTTGAGCGTCGACCCATGTACCAAGAGGTCGCTGGTTTGATTCCCAGTCAGGGGACATGCCCAGGTTATGGGCCCGATCCCCAGGGAGGGGCATGCAGGAGGCGGCCAATCCATATTCTCTCTCATCGACGTTTCTATCTCTCCTTCCCTCTCCCTTCCTTCCCCTCTTTCTCTCACATCAATAAAGAATTAAAAAACAAAAACAAAGAGTGCCCACCACATAGGCCTCTTTCTAGATGCTTGAGGGACTGCTCATCCAGGTTCCTTGAAGTTAGGTGTGGTAGTGAGACTTGCTTTGGACGATTAAATGTCAGTAGAAATAATACGTCACTTCTGAATAGAAGCTGTGAGAACCAGTAGGCACCTCACCAGCCCTCTCTCTCTGCCAGGGTGACTGACAGCTCAGCCTGTGCGGCAGAGCATGTGAGTGAGCACAATACCACACCTTGTCTTAAGCCGCCGAGAACATGGGTGGCTTATCATGGCAGCATATATCCCAGCATCTCCTGACCAGCACAGTGAGTGTTGAGAGGATGGAGACTTGGAAAAGGGAACTCCAAGGTATGTAGTTTACCAAAAAAGAGACACTGCCACTTACGTTTTCTTTGGTAGTCGGCAGCAGTCCAACAGCAGTGCCCAGATCTGATGAGTCCCTGCCATGGCTATCCACAGAATGGCATCTCTTTGGACCTCGGAACCTATAGAAATAAATAGTAAATAGTATATACATATTTGGTTAATATAAAAACATCAATTTAGAAATTTAAATTATAGGAAGAAAGCAATATGTTGTTTACAAATCATCTGATAGGAGAAAATAAAAATATTGCAATGTTTTTAGTTGTTTTTGAAAATTTTCTATTTTCCTTGTGAAAGCCAAACTTCTTCAGAATGATAAATTTACCTGTAAATTCATGGAAATCCAATGTATTCTCAATAGTAACATGTCCCTGCATCTCTGGGCACAATGTTTTTAAACATTTGTTTATTTTATGTGATAAAAGAAATGGGGTGGCACATACTTCCCAAAGAACTGGCAGTCAAACACCAGCACTAACCACCTAGATTACATACTCTGGTAACAGGTCTTTGAAGAGTTTCTCATGAAAAAAAATAGTCTATTTTAATAGTTTAAGAAATGTGTACTTCTGTCACAATTATCAGCTTTTAGACTTAGATACACATCACAACTGCTATTTAAAAATCAACTGGTTAATTGGTTAGAAAACTTTTTCAAAAGATACAGCTGACATACAGAACAGCTCAGAGTACAATATATCACAATATAGCTGTTTATTTTATTGTTAAAATATTTAAATCTTTTAATTTTAGATGTATTCTGAGGTTACTTTTACATGTAACTGAGACATTTTAACTAAAATAATATGGTCAGACACATGCCCTAGGAAATCATCTTAGTAAGGCTATTTTATTTATATTTTCTTTAACTTTACGTAGTTTGTATACAAAAGGAACTTTTCTTCCTTAACTTGTATTACTTTCAAGTGCCTTTCAATTTAACAACAAAAATGATGATGGTTCTCAAAGCCCCGGAAGACAGGTAGTGCTCTTAGGTCCTTCGTACAGATGACGAAACGGAAGACTAGGGAGGTAGGTAACATGACAGGATCACAGAGCTAGTAAATGAAGGAAGGAATCGGAACCAGGCAGTTCAACAGAAAAATCTTTTCACATGTTGCCTTGTCTCTGTATTCTTAATTGCTATCCTATAAAATATAAAGAAAAGTAGTTTTAATTTTTTTCAGTCAAATATTTTTATAAACATAAATTGTATTTAAAGTGACAATGGCACTCTGGCTGGTTTTTCTCAGTGGTTAGAGCATCGGCCCGTGGACCAAAGCATTGCAGGTTCAATTCCTGGTCAAGGGCAGGTACCTGAGTTGCAGGTTTGATCTCTGGCTCTTGTTGGGCCCTGATTGGGGTCAAGCAGGAGGCAGCCAATCAATGTTTCTCTCTCTTTCTCTATCTCTCTCCTCCTTCCCTTCCACGTTATCTAAAAATCAATGGAAAAGTATCCTTGGGTGAGGATTAACAAAAATAAATAAATAAATGAATGAATGAACGAATGAATGAAACGATGGAATTCCATGTATTCTGAGGACTCAGTCTCTGTTAATTATTTTAAAGCTAGACCAAAAGCTTTTCATAATTATTTTATTTTGCCCCTTCCATATGAGGACAAAGCAGGAAGGTGACTATAAGCCAAAAGAGAGCTCTCACCAAAAACCAGTCATGCTGCCACCTTGACCTTCTAGCCTTCAGAACTGTGAGAAAATAAATTTCTGTTGTTTAAGCAACCCAGTCTGTGGTATGTTATTATGGCAGCCCAAGCTGATAAAGACATTCCCCTAAGAATAGAAATAAGACAAGAATATCTGCTATAAATACTGATTTAGCATCATCGAGAGGTCCGAATTTGTACAAGAAAAAGAAGCAAAAAGTATGAAGATGAGAAATAAAACTAATTATTAGATTATAACAGGCATTTAAAGCCTCTACCTTGCCAAGAAAGAGCTGTGTAGGTACATATGTGAGAGATCAAATCAAGTCTCCATTTTCTAGTTCTCCAAACAGGGCAGACTAGTCCAACTAGCGTCTACTATATGAAGACAAAAGCTTCACAGTAATAACGTGTTTTGTCTAGGTCTCTGTGCACTTATTTCCTTTAAAAGCCTAAGGAATGAGAAAAAGTGACCAGGCTGTGTCAGGTTAGGATTCGGGTGTTTGGGATTCTACCTGCTATTGGATGATGATGGTGGGGATGGTGATGAAAATGATAACACTTCCTATGTTTAAGGTACTGAGATAATACACACTTTACATGAGTTTTTCCTTTAATAATTTAATACTTCATTCCAATCTTAGGAAGTCTAGTATCATCTCTACTTTATAAAGAAAGTGAAATTCAAAGGAGTTAAATAATTTGTTGAAATTCACACAGCTAAACCTGGAATAATAATCCATTAGTAAGTCTGATTACAGATTATTAGTGTTCTGATCAGAATGAAGGAATACAGAAGTGAGCCTATGCTCCTCTGGCCAATTCCTGCTTGGCCTATCCCCTCTCCCCCCACTTCTGCATCTGCCCCATGGCTTTAGCTCTGGCTTCAAGTACCCAGGCGCACTACCATGTGTGATCAGAAATAGTGATCTGATCCAATGCAACCATGGCTTTCTACTCCAGGTTCCCCCCGCATGCCCTTCTCTCCCTATAGCCTCTGGCTGAGCACTCTTCTACAAGTGCCTTTCCATTTTTGGTTCGTTTCAGCTTATCAACATCTCTTTGTGACTTTTATGATGAAACCTCATTTTTATAGCGAACAATGAAAATAACAAACATTTATATATTAAACATTTTTATGTGTAATCACTGTTTTAAGTGCTTTCCATATATTCTCATAATTCTCACAATAAGCCCTTGAGATGGGTACTATTAGTATCTTCAATTTAGATGAGGAAATTGAGGCATAAAGAGGCTAAGTAACTTTTCCAAAGTCACACAACTACGAAGATGTAAACCAGTTAGCACCCAAGCAGTCAGGCTCCAGAGTCCATGCTTATAACCACCATGCTGTACCACTTTTCAAGGGCTGAAGAGTTTGTTCTTATAAATAAAATGGGAGTTTAAAAAAAGGTATTCTGGCATTTATAATGTTTATCAAACTAACAAGAGTCACATTAATAATTTATACTGTTCATCCTGGATTTTAAAATTTAAAGCACAAAGTTGTCTGACTTGAGTATGGGTATTAGTTTTGTTCCTTCTGACAATCATAAACATTTCCATTTTAAATTAAGAGTACACTTAGTATCACTGACTTAAATAGTCACAAATTAAAAATTAAAAAAAAAGGATAATGTCAAAAGCCGAAAAGGTTTTGGGAGTATTTTTAAAAGCAAAATGTCTCGACCTGCCGGAGCCCCCCTCCGGGAAGCAGGGACGGCAGGGGGTAGGGGAGGGAGGGCGGGTGGAGGGATCGGGAAGAATGGAGAGTGGGGAAAAAATAAATAAATAAATAAATAAAAATAAATAAATAAATAGCAAAATGCCTCATAATTATCAGTAAGGATTACTGAAATAGTTTCAGAAAACAGGAATAAAATCAGCAAATGAAATATGAAAATGAAAAAATTACCTGCAATCTAGCTTTTAAATATTCTGTTATTTTAAACAACTATGGTCAAAATAGAGTCTACTGACTAGAACCCTCTTAATAGCATCTGTGAAATTGTCCATTAGTGTAAATAGTTTTTCTCCACAGTCTCTAAACCTCCTATGAAGCAAAGCCTTAAGCCACTAGGAAAAAGCAGCAAAGCCTGTCACTCCCAGGGCACAAGAAAAGACCAATTCGAGGACTGAAAGAAGGGTAGAAAAAAAAAAAAAATCTCTACCCCTGGGGGAGGGGCAGGGAATTATCTGTGAGCAGACTCCATACTGGCACCAGGCAGAGGTTCACCACTGCTGGGGGAAAGCAGGAATCTTCAAACTACTCGCAGAACACAAGGCAGTTTAGCTGCCAGAGAAGGAACGGAAATAATGGAACAAAGCCCCCCCCGCCCCCCCATGGACCCTAGACACATAGGGCATCCCTAAGACTGAGGCTGATCAGAACAACAGAGAACACTCCCTTAGCTCCGATGCACCCGACTGGAGAACAACAAACAGCAGCAGGTTCTCTCTCACGGAGCTGCAAGAGTGAAGAAAGTGCGAACCATCTGGTTCAGTGCACTGGGTGACTGGAAGCGGAGGCAGTGCACTAACACTGAGAACAATCCTCCAGCCTCTAGGCCCCTATGCGTAGGCAACACCAGCCCACAGCTAGAGGAATTCAAACGCTATGGTGAACTGACAGAACTCACAGCAATAATAAAACCCAGCCCCAGCCCAGTTTCTGACTACACTGACTTCCATAATAATTTCATAACTACTACTGATCTCAGCCTCTATAATTCTATACAAGATGACTGAAATTTAATTAAAATGGAAAAGACAATTTAAACAAAGAAACAATAAAAACCCACCCAAATAAAACAAAACAAAATACCTCCATCAATAAATACTGTTGATCTCAGCTGCTATAGTTCCACACAAGATGACTGGTATTTAATTAAAATTGAAAAGACAAATAGAAAGTAAGCAAAAACAAAACAAAACCCCACCTAAATAAAACAAAACACACTTACACTACACAACCCCCATCAAAACTAAACAAAGAAACCTTTTCAAGAGACAAACCAATCAATAGAAACAGACTTAGAGATGACCTAAAATCAGGTACTATATGACATGGACTTTGAAATTACTATGTTTACTATGTTAAGGAATCTAGAGAAAAAGGTGGCCAACATACTCAAATATATGATAAATTTCAGTAGATAGATGGGATCTAAGAAATAGTAATATGGAAATGCTTTAAAAAATGAAAAATTCCTTCAATAGTCTCATCACTTGACTAGACACAGTTGAGGAAACAATGACCCTAATGATAAATTAATAAAAATTATGCACATTGAAACACAAAGAGAAAAAAAAGAAGTATAGGTAAAAAGAACACAATATGTAAAAAATGCTGGATATATCAGAGTCTAATATGTGAGTAACTGAAATCCCAGAAAGAGGAGAAAAGAGTAGAAAAACTATTTAAAGAGATAATAGGTGACAATTTTTTCAGATAAT